TGTGGGGGGGGGGGGGGGGGGGGTATGTATATATAAACCTGTAAAGGATAACTAAAATTTGCAGAGTAAAATGCAAAATGCAAGGTGGTGGTTGATTTGTATCACTGTAAAACATTCATCCTGTTTGATCAGTTACAGAAACTGGTATGATCATATGACAATAGATGTTAAAATGCGTTAAAAATGCAAGTTGATGTCCTCATATAAGCAAATAAAAATAACATTCGTTTTTCCCCATTCTGTTCATTTTTGTACAGTGTAAATAATCAAGTGAATGAATGAAGTTTGACCACAGCATATTTGTGAAAGTCTGCAGTACCATTTTATACCAATAACTAATAAAAACATTTAAAAGTTACAAAGGGTTCAAAAGGTCCTGAAGAGCAGGAATGACCCCTACGGGAGAACTGAGCACATAACTCGTCTTTCACAATAGTGTGCTGAATCTGTCTGCCACTTTTACTATTTCATCCACTTTGATTTGATTAAATAGACTTGACTTCAGTCTATTCTCTTGAGACAATGAATATTTTGCTCAGAAGCTTTACGTTATGATTTTTCCACACATTTGTAGAAACAAGCCCACTGCATTTTAGTCGCTCTACAGTCACAGGCTATATATAAAAATGATCTGCTGTAATGTTTTTTGAAACATATCAGGGACACATCCGGTGTGTTGTTTCTTCTCTGTAGATGGTCTGGGATGCCGGTACCGTTGTACAAGTCCCAGGGTTGTGGGAAGAGAGTTCTGTGGCTTTTATTGTGTGTCTGGACTGTGATATATGTACATGCAGGCAATCAGAGGCCAGTCTCATGTAAACGTCCTACTAACGCTTTTGTCTGACCTTCCCTTTAGTAATCTGAAGGCAACAGCAAGATTCAAAAGACTAGTTCATTTAGCTGGAGCCTTTTTAGTGTTGGCTGGACAACAAATCAGATGAGGGCCCCATATAAAAAAAATTTATATAATGAGAATAAAGTTGTAATATTTTGATAACAAAGTCAGAATTATGAGAATAAATCGTAGCAATACAAGAATAAAGTCTTATATGAGATTAAACTTGTAAAAATCTGAAAAGTCAAAATTGTGGGAATAAAGTCATAGCACTGTGAGTTTAAAGTAATATTTTGATAATAAAGTTTTAAAAAATTACAATAATAAGATCACATCAGTACAAGTCTTACACAAGATTAAAAAAGTCAAAATTAAAAGAATAAAGTCATAGCATTGTGAGATTAAAGTTGTACTATTTTCATTATGACAATAAAAAAGTATCAATTCAAGAATAAAGTCCTATACAAAATTAAAATTGTAATAAATTAAAAATGATAAGAATAAAGTCATATCAATACTAGAAGTCTTACAGCAACATGAGAATAAACTTAATATATTTTGAGAATTATGAGAATAGAGTTGCAGCATGTGAGATTAAAGTTGTAATATTTTGAGGGTAAAGTCAAAATTATGAGAATAAAGTTGTTGCAATACAAGAATAAAGTCTTGTGCAAGCTTGATCTTGTGATATTTTAAGAATAAAGTCAAAATTACGAAAATAAAGTTGTAGAATTATTAGATTAAGTCTGAATATTTTGATAACAAAGTCAGAATTATGAGAACAAATCGTAGCAATACAAGAATAAAGTCTTATATATTAAACTTGTAAAAATCTGAAAAGTCAAAATTGTGGGAATAAAGTCAACACTGAGTTTAAAGTAATATTTTGATAATAAAGTAAAAAATAAAATTCAATGATAAAATCACATTACTGATGAATAAAGTCTTACACACGATTAAAAAAGTTGAAATTAAAAGAATAAAGTCATAGCATTGTGAGATTAAAGATGTACTATTTTCATTATGACAATAAAAAAGTATCAATTCAAGAATAGTCCTATACAAAATTAAACTTGTAATAATCTGAGAATATAGTCAAATTTATGAGAATAAAATCATAGCATTGTGAGATATTAGTAATATTTTGATGATAAAGTAAAAATGATAAGAATAAAGTAATATCAATACTAGAAGTCTTACAGCAACACTAGAATAAACTTAATATATTTTGAGAATAATGAGAATAGAGTTGTAGCATGTGAGATTAAAGTTGTAATATTTATAAAGTAATTTTGACTTTAAATATTAAGATTATAATCTCATAATGCTACAACTATTTTCATAATTTGTAATTTACTCTCACAATATTATGACTTTATTACGACTTTATTAAGGCACTGAAAATACTGTCACACTTATTTATCATGCTTCACCAGTACAGAATATTTTTATTTTATTTTATTTTTTTATTACTATTTTTTAGAGTGCATTGCATCAATGTTCTGCCTTTAATTAAAATATAATTCCAGAGCTCTGTGATTAGATTTATATCTCATCTTTCTGTACCTGTTGAAACGGTTCAGGTATTTGTGAATTAGGTTATCAGCCGAGACGGCGAGTTTCCACCGGCAAAAACACCCATAAATACCTGGTTTACCTGTATCATAGTAAATGTGTCAGTATATGAGAGACACACAGACAATTAGACAGAGACACGCACTCGGTTTTGTTCGTAGGCGTTTGCGTCTCTTATAGGCTGAATGTATAGGCGTATCTCACATCTATAACAGAAAACAGATGTAAAGAGCAAATTCCACAGGTAGCTTTATATGGGGTCCTGCAGTGATTTTCATAGGTACGGATGAAAATACCATTAATTTAAAGCTCACTATAATTGCACTAATAACTTCATAATTACTGCACAAATAAAGTCTTGCAGAATGCATTTGCAGCTGATGTAGAGTGTGTTTAACTGTGTGTTTGTTGTGCATGCGAGTGACTGCAGGGTTTTCACTGTAAACATTGTGTTTTCAATGTGAAATGCTGACATTGTTCTCTGTTCCAGGTTCCAGAACGGCCCAGAGCATGAGAGAGAGAGATACAGAAGCTCTTTGTGCTTTATCACCGTTTGTGTGTTTGCTGTGACTTTTTTTTGTTTGTTTGTTTTTGGCTATAATTATTGATGGCTCTTTTCCAATCTTAAACCACAGATGGAAGACATTTAATATGCTGATTTGCTGCTCAAGAAACATTTCTGATTATTATCAATGTTGAAGCAGTTGTGCTGCTTCATTTTTTTTGTGGAAACCATCAGGATTTCTTAATTCTCTGGTGAATAGAATCAAAATGAGAGTATTTATTTTAAATAGAATCTTTTATCAAATTATAAATGTCTTTACTGTGACTTTTGATCAATTTAATGCATCCTTGCTGAATAAAACTTCTTAAAAAATGTATTTCTTAAGATAAATAAATAAATAAATAACAGTGATCCCAAACATTTGAGAGGTAGGCTATGTCTGTGTACGTGTCTTAGAATGATTTCTGAAGATCATGTGACACTGAAGACTGGAGAAATTATGCTGAAAATTCAGCTGCACATCATAGGAATACATTACATTTCACAATGTATTCACACAGAAAACAGCTATTTTAAATTGTAATGATATTTCACAATTTTAATGTATTTTAGTTAGAAAATGCAGCCTTGGTAACACCTTTTATTGATGATTCTGATGTTGTAATGTAGCATCAAAAATTGGCATTTTGTTTACAGTATACAGTGGGGTATAAAAGACTGTGACCACATTGAAATCTGAATATTTTATTGCATTGCATTGCATTTAAACCTGACAATAAAGTTTTAGAATTGAAAAGAAGACTAAGATAAGAACAAAAATTCCATTATTTAGGTGACTAATCAAATGTAATTTGAAGTAAATGAGAGTAGATTGAAGTAAATGAGTGTCATTGATCATGTGACTTTGTATAGATGTTCAAATGTTCTTGTGTTGAATCTTAAGATGCTGAAATCACACTTGAGGTTTTGTTCATGTTGAGGTGTGAAATGCAAAAGAAGATCATTTTTAGTAGTGATCTATAACTTTTGGACCCGACTATATGTATGTATGTATATGAAACCCCTTTGACCCAGATAAACTGATCCTGTCTTAACATGTAGTTTTAGGGGACAGGGCTGTATTTGTATTTGTGTGTGTGTGTGTGTGTGTGTGTGTGTGTGTGTGTGCGTGTAGCCTCTGGTTAAGAAGGAAACACACCCCCTCACAAACCTCTGTGCCAACTGTTGTATAACAAAGCTGTTAAATGAGAGGGGCCCTAAAACCCCACATTATTTATGCCCCTGTGTGTGCGTGTGTGTGTGTGTGTGTGTGTGTGTGTGTGTGTGTGTGTGTGTGTGTGTCTGTGTCTGTGTGTGTGTGTGTGTGCAATGAAAAGTGAGACCTGAATGGATGACATTAAGATTTAGATGTGTGTGCTGAGCATCCGGCACAGACGGACAATTGTATTGGAGCTTTGTGTGTGGTGTGTGTGTGTGGGTTTACATACAGTAGATGTAATTTGGAGACAAAACTGTCCCCACAATCTGAAAAAAAATCTGAAATCAGAAAACACTGTAAAATGATGGATTAATGCAAAACTGTAAATAAAAAAAGTTTTCTGTAGGGTTTGTGTTAGTTTGAATGATTGTAATGAACTGTTGGTATGTGCTCCTGTAGAGTGTTGGTGTTTGTTGGGGGGGGGGGGGGGCGTGTGTTTATGTAACGGGCTTCTGCTCTATATAAGCTCCTGCAGCGGGACTCTGCGCTCAGAATTCAGCTCTCGAGGCCCTGATTCCCACACACTCCAGACCGAGCTCTGCAGTAGCCATGGCAACCGCCCTGCTGGGATTGCTGGGAGTTTTGCTCTGTGCCCTTGCCGTCAGTTCTGAGGTCACGCCGCAGGCCGACTTCGACCTCAAGGGGGTAAGACTGCAAGACCTATATATTCAAATATAGGTTACAATAAAATTTAAGAGAAATCAATGTTTTTTTTTTGTTTGTTTACTTCTTTTATTTTTTTATATGTTACTATTTTTTACTATTTGTTACTATATATGTGTGTATGCATGCATATATATATATTTCATAAGTAAAGAATTTTTTATAACATTTTTGTATGCGTTTTTATATTTCAGAACTTGTATCAAACATTAAATGTATAATTCAGAAATGATCAAAAATTGTGGAACTTTTTTTGTATCTATTTGGGTAGTTAAAATAAATGTATTTTTTTTACTTCTAGATTTTAGGTTCAACAGAAAATGTGTATTTTAGGTGCTTTAGTGTCAGGGCAGCTACTTATTCATACATTCATATTTTATTTATTTTAGTTTTTGTTGCACAAAAACTTGTATCAACATTCAATTTATAATTTAGAAATGCTTACAATTCTGAATAGCTTAAAAATGACTATTGGAGTAGTTAAAATGTTTGTATTTTTCAGCGTGTATATTTTGGGTGCTTTAGTGTCATTGCAGCTGCCCATTTATTTCAAGCATAAATACATAATAAATAAATATTTTTTGCATGACTTTTTATATTACAAAACGTGTATCAAACATTACATTCTTAATTTAGAAATGCTCAAAAAAAAAATTATGGCACTTTTAACTGTATTGTTTCTGTCAACAGGAAGTGTATGTTTTCGTCATGGCTGCTATATGCAAAAAAATAAAATATTAATATAAATATTTCATATATTTGCTGCATAACATATATAGTTTTATATGACAAAACATGCATCAAACATTAAATGAATAATTTAGAACTTTGAACTATATTTTTTGTAAACTAGGTTTTCAGCTTTAACAGAAAGTGTATATTTTGGGTGTTTAGTGACCTGCAGCTACACAGTGTTGACGTGTGTCCTTCTCACAGGTGGCTGGGAAATGGTACCTGATTGGTTTTGCCACCAATGCCGAGTGGTTTGTCGCCCGCAAGGCGAACATGAAGATGGGCATCGCCATGCTGACGCCGACTGATGAAGATCTGGAGATGGCATATTCCAGTCTCAAGTAAGACAAACTGATCACTAAAAAAAAGAGATTAATTAACTATTAATAAAATCTTCTCATGTGGTATGATTTTAACCTTTAATCCATCCTGTTTTTCCAGTCCTGATGGCACATGCTGGAGAATGACCCATCTGGCTCAAAAGACGGATATTCCAGGGAAATTCAGCTTCCGCAGTGAAAGTAAGGAAGATAGTGTTCATCTAGACATGAAACACGATTTATTCAGGATTCAGACGGGAAATGATGTGTTTCCTCAGGCTGGGAGACTGACAATGACATGCGTGTTGTTGATGTGAAGTATGATGAATATGCTTTGATCCACACCATCAAGACCAAAGCCAACTCCACCACGCTTCTCAACAAACTCTACGGTAATTAACTCCTCTTTCAAATTGAGCATTTTCATTTTTAGCAGGTTTTGAATCTAGGCCTCTTCACATAAAAACTAAAGACAACTATAGACTTCAGTCAGATTAGATATTGAATTTAACGCTGATGAAAATGAGGCTGTGAGGAATAGACCTCCCCATATGGCAAAAAAATAAATAAATCTGGACAAAATATATGCTGTAAGCAATTATGTTAAATGCGAGATCAAAACTAGATTAATAATAATTCATTAATGTTTTTTTTTTGTTTATATTTAAAAAAAAATTCAAATGTGTTCACACGTGTTATAGACAACAAAAAACATTCTCTTCAAATGTCAAGTATTTTATTGGATTGAAAATTTGGCAAAAAATTATTTATGGAGGGCAAAATATATTTTCAAAAATATAAAAATGTATTGGCCAAATGTAAATATATTTTGAAACCTATTTTAGCAAATATGTAGTAGTAGTATTAGCATTAGTATTATATTTCTTGCCCCTGAAATACATTTTTTATTTTGCTATGAGGGTTGAAACTAAATATATTTTCAATTTTTGTATTTATTTAGCTTGTGTTTAAAACATATTTTGGTCAGGATAATTATATTTTCTTGCTGTATTGGAGCTCAGGTCCATTAAATAATATTACCAGATACAATTAACTTTAACTAGAGAATTAACAATATAAAAAAAGCATTTATTAATCTTAGTTAATGTTCACAAATGAACCTTACTTTCATTTTCAGCTGACTGAATCTCTCTTAATCACCTCAATACATTTTAATATAAAACACCCAATTGTTCCTGATGGATAAAATGAAGCTCACCAATTTTCTCGTTTCACTGAAATATTACAAAGGTTAAATGGATTATGAAGCCGTTTCTTATGAGCTTAAATCTCATGTTCCTCAGCCTGTGATGTGTGCTGTGAAAAACGTTGTGAAAAGCATCAGCACTGATGCACTGATTCTGAATTGTTCTCGTGACATTTGTGAAGGCCGAACCCCAGACCTGAGCCAGGACGTCCTGGACAAGTTCACTGACTTTTCTCTGGAGCAAGGCATTCTGCCTGAGAACATCGCCATCCTGCCTACAAATGGTAAAACTGTTAAAACCACTCTTATAAACACTAAATATGAGTGTATCCAGGCCTGACGTGAGCATCTTTTCTCTCCAGACGAGTGCCCCTGATGTGCTGATGTGAAGCTCCTCTCTGAATCCTGACTGACTGAATTATTATGACTGTAGTGAATCATTTAAAGTGCCTCTAGTGTTTTCTGCTCTCAGTATCAGTCCTTTTACCCTCTAAGTTCTTTCCATCATTTCTTCTTATTTCTTCATGAGTTTGGACCAATAAAATCTTTTGTGAATCTGTTTTGAGGCATTTAAATTGTGATTTTTATGTATTTAGCTTGTTAACTGTCAGTCATAGAAAATGACACTGAAAGTGTTGTAAATATTGAATGCTTTGGAGCATTTGGTCTCTTTTTAAAGACATTTGGGAGATTGTTGTAGAAGTGAAATGCTATAAAAGTGAAAAGTTTATGAAAACATAAAATATAAAAAGTCTTCATAAAATTGGTTTCAAGCATATACGCAGCAGGGATATAATAGTTAACTAAAACTAAACTTTTTTTTTTTTTTTAAGAAACGTTAACTGAAATAAAGTATGAAATATAAATATTTCAGCTAGTTGCCAAGGCTTTACTTAACCAAAATAAATAAATGTATAATAGATAAAATACTATAAAAATAAGTATCAAAACTATAGTTAAGTAAACAAGTTTATAAAAAATATATTTTTTAATTGTTTTGATATAATTTCATAATATACAAATTAATAAAAGTGATTATAAAAATTAAGAATGTTATATCATATTTTAAAACCACAATAAAAATGAATATGAAATAATAAAAATGACAAAAAAATTACAAATATGAAAAACTAATAAAAATAACAAAAACACAACAAAAATACTAAAACTAAAATTATAACTAAAACAACATTAAAATAAATCTTAAAAACTTTAAATAAACTTTAACTGAAATAAAAAGTAAAATACATATTTAAAACAAAAAAAAAAACTTATTTCAGCTAGTTGCCAACATTTCTCGTTTTAGTTTACCATAATGTACTAAAATCACTAAAAAAATATCTGTATAGACATTTATATAGACTTACACAACTAATGACAAAAACATGACAAAATTACTAAAACGTTCCAAATTAAAACAGAAAATTCAAAATATTAATAAAAACTAGTATCTGTAACATCTCAATGACACCAAAATAACACACATTACACTGTAAATACACAACTTTTAAAGATACTGAGAAATAATTTCCTGAATAAATAAACCTTTTTTATTAAAAAAGCTTGTAAAATTGTATACCTTGAATTCAAGGTAAATCGCTTTAGCCAAAAGCATCTACCGCATGAATAAATGTAAAGGGGAATGCTCATTATATCCCATATAAAAAGACCTCTAAAACGTTGTGCACTTACAGACAACTGCCTTTCCATAATGAAGAACAGAGGATGCAGGAAAATACTTTGCCTTTTATTTCCTTTTTTATCATTTTTTAAACAAATGTGAAGATACATCCATGACAACACAAAGTTCTGAAGTCCTCTTTCCGAAGTGTTTACATCTACACGCTCTCTTTACAGATCTGTGTACAAAACAATAAGTTATAGTCCCATAGATTCCTACTTACATTTAACTATACAACAAAGTTTAAACGGTGACCAAATAAATATCTGCAGTATAAAAATGATCACGGAGAGAGAGAGAGAGAGAGGTGCTTCCCTTCCCGACCGATGGCATCGTTTTTGCTGATCACTGCTAATGTTCGGACACAAAGAGAGGCTGTTTCAGTGCTTCGAGGTCGAGTTCCTCTGGAAACCTCTGGCCAATCACATGCAAAGCTGGATATGACATCATCCATCACAGGTTAGTGGAATTGTGACCCGAATAAGCGTAATTTGATTCGATTTATGTTACGCACAAACACAAAACAGCGCATTTCCAACACGACTCGCCTTGTCGATTCCAGCTTTTTGTCACGTTTTGGTAACGAGTAAAGGATGCCAGCCTAGTACACGCTTTCAGTGAGGTCTGACAGCGACTGTTAAGACAATTAGTGGGTATTAGTGTGTATTTGCATTGACTGCATGTGAACAGTACCATCACTATGAAGTCGCCAAGACGAGACTATTGGTTATTGGCAACGGCAAACATATCTGATGCATTGCTTTGAGTATAAACCAGAAAAATCATCAACCATAATCATACATACGCATACAGATCATTTGTAATCTCCTCGTAGCTGTCCTTTTCCAAACGAAACTCATACTGCATGTTGTGGATAAATTGGCCTGATAACTTATCAATAAAGTTATCAAACATGATTTTGGTACACATAATTGGCATACTGAATCTAATATAGTGTATGTTTAGAATTCATATGGCCGAGTCTCAAAAAAGATACATGCTCTGGTCAAATTTCACCCCAAAAACGAAAGAAATTCAAATAATTAATTATATTTTGAGTGTTGCATTGTGATGTTGACTTGTGTATTTTTACATTTATTTTATACATCAGTAGTAAAATTTTAAATACTCATCGTGTAGCAATAAATATTTTTTATTTGATTTTTATACTAAAATTGGTGTAGAAATAATTTTCACTCAGATTTTGCAAGTAAATTGCACATATTTGCAAAAAATGTTGAAAATAACACATTGAAGTAAATGTGAAATGTTGAAGTATCAATACAGTGGAAATTTGTATTTTTTTGAAAGATGTAAATAAAACATCAATTACCAGAGTATTGATAGTCTGTCTACTTCACCGGTTCGGTGTGTTACTTGCTGTTTCTTTGTAATTAATGGTGAAAAGAGTGGAAATTGTTTTTACATAAAAAATTTTTAGTGTAGGTGCTATTTTTAATTCCAATTCATTTTCCGATGGTTATTTACATTGCTGTAACATAAAAAATGTTTACTGCAATACAATGATTTGTATTTAATTTAGCATACAAGTAGAAAAAACTGCTATTATGTTGTTGTTTTTCTCTTGATTTTGGGGTTTAAGATTTGACCCAGACACGCTCTTTACATGGGCTTTACCCATTTACTTCACATCTCTGTGTTCCCATACATCCAAGTGAAATGCATTTAAGTCAACATGAGAAAACATTTACCTTTGCATGATTAAAATCTGTCCTATTAGCGCAGAATTCAAGCTTTCTTATAATTACACAGACTAAAGGGGTTATCTGGTCTCTGGTCTCTGGAGATCTGATGCTTTATGCCAGAGATGCTTTATAAATGAGCTGCATGGACTCAATCCAGGAAGTTAAAAAAAATCAAAACGAAATTTAGTAAATCTTTTTTTAAAAATTACATGAATGGCTTTTTTTCATACAAGGTGAACTATTCCTTTCAAACATATTGGTCATTACAGATGACGCTGCATCTGTTTTTCCCTCATCATCGTCATCAGATCAGATGCAATTTTTGCGATTATTAAGTCAAGTCAAGTCACCTTTATTTATATAGCGCTTTTAACAATACAGATTGTGTCAAAGCAACTGAACAGCATTAATTAGGAAAATAGTGTGTCAATAATGCAAAATGACAATAGTAAACACTAATTTTTCAGTTTATTAAAGGTTTGGGAGACCAGATATTCCCTATAACCTCGTCCTGATCACACACGCGTTGCAAAATAAGGCAATGTCCTTACTGCCAATGGAAAACAGCCTGATACCTTTCTGACGTGTTTCTGAAAATTAAAAACATTTCCTGGTGTCCATGTTTTCAAACAGCTATCTATCAGACGGACATGCTAATAAACTGCGAGACTGATATCAATCACATTGTCCTATATTCATAAAGCATTTCAGAGAGGTTACGTTAGCTACTCGATGACTCTGAAATGCTTGAAGAATATGCACCTGATCCCAGAGGCTGGATGCACGTTAGTAGATGACAAAACCAAACTGAAATGCACTGAAAAACATAAAACATCTACAGGTAAAGGAATAGTCCGGCCAAAATGAAAAATGTCATTATTTACTCACCCTCTAGTTGTGCGCTTTTATTATTATTCATTTCTAAAGCGGAGGGGAAGATTTTCAATGAACAACAACATAAATTTGGGTCTGTCCTCGCACAAGTATATCATACGACTTCAGAAGATCTGGAACATAATCCACAAGTATTTTAATATTTATAATACATTATTATAATGATAATACTATAACAAAGAAAATTTGTGAAATAATTTTTTTTCTTTTACGTTCCTTTGCAAAAAAATCAGTCAAACTAATTTTAAACAACATGAGGGCGAGTAAATTATTTTCACATTTTAAATTTTAGAGTGAACTGTTCCTTTAAAGGGATATTTCACCCAAAAAACTATTTTCTGTCATCATTTACGATGTTCCAAATGTGTATGACTTTCTTTCTATTGTGGAACACAAAAGAAGATATTTTGAAGAATGCCAGTAGCTAAACAGTTTCCGCTCCTATTAACTTCCATTGTATGAACAAAAGATAGAATGGAAGTCAATGGAAACCGAAAGAGTATGGCTACCCAAATTCTTCAAAATATCTTTTTTTGTGTTACAATGGACGTCAATGGGAACCAAAACAGTTTAGTTATTTCCATTGGAAGTCAATGGGAACTGAAACTGTTCGGTTACCAACACTATTCAAAATATCTTAATTTGTGTTCCAGTAGAATAGAAGTCAATGGGAACCAAATCTGTTTGGATGCAAACAAAGAAATGCCTACAGGTTTGAAAAGCACACGAGGGTGAATAAATGACGACAGAATTTTTGTTTTTGGCTGAACTGTTCCTTTAAGACTGGAGACCATGTGATCATAAACAACATGAAAGCACTTCCAGCCTGTGTCACTAAATCCTATTCTCTCGCACACAAACACAACACTGCTATGCATGAGGGGTCTTGGTAAGAAGCCCAATACAGAGGTTGTCAAAACATGAGGGATGGTGATTTCCAGTCACTTGCTGTTTAGTGTGTTTACGGAAGTGAGCGGAGAAATAGGAGGAGCTCATTCTGCCGGCACCATGTCTTTATGGTGCCTCATAATGTGCTGGTTTTTCTCCGAAGGTCTCCGGAAGCCCTTCGAACAGTACTGACAGCGATGCGGATAGTCCTTAGTATGGATGGAAATAACGTGTCTTTTGAAGCCAGACGCATCTCCCGTGCTGTAGTCGCAATACTGACACTGATACACTCTCCGTTCTCGCGGACCCTTCGCGCCGCTGGATTTCTTTACAGCGGGCGCTGCTAACTGCGCCGCACCTATAGTCCTCTTGGGGGCGGGCTTTTCTGTGG